ATTTGAAGCTTTATATCTTCTATTAATTATCTGCGAGCGCTTTCGACAGTTGTAGTACTGTCATCTTCTAGGCACTCCTCAAATTAAACTTGACATCCTGTCGTCTGCCTCTTTATACAGTCAGAGCGTCTCAACTCAGGTAATGACTGTTAAATTTATGGATGTTCAAGTTTTCCATAATGTCCATGTGGTTTCCCTTGATGACTTGTTTTATGAGTTTTATGTTCTCTGGTGGAGGGAAATTATATTTGTTTTGTATGGCGTATGTTGCGAGGTTTGATTTATATACTATTGGATTAATGTATGTTTTTTTGTGCTCATTGTACCTTTGGATCAGTTTTTTCTTGGTTTGGCCGATATAGAATTTGTTGCAGTCCGAGCATTGTATACTGTATATCCCGTTTTTGTCAGACAAAACAACACAACGATGGACAGCATTTACGTACGTAGGACACCAAATCAAAAAACTGACAACATCTTCAAACCACTGAACATCAGCATCACATACAAGCCGAACACGAAGATAACACAAAAAATAAACAACTATGAAAAAGAAGAAGACAAAGACCAAAACAATGACAATATATAATCAGAACTTACATCCTTCTGCCACAGATGAGTCCCTTGTTCACATCCAATTTGACTCAGAAAAGTGTTGAAGTCTGTTGTTTTTTTCTGACAACATGACCAATATTTCATTCCTTCATGAAATATCGGCACTCCTGGGTGGTGTATGCAAGACGTACTATTAGTTTCTGGACCACTATAAACTTTTCCGCATCCACCATTTTTACATATTGTTCCAATAGCAATTTCACCAGATTCAATAGCAGTTTTCTCCTCCTGTTTCAATCCTGTGGTATTGAGTTGTTGTTTCAGAGAAGGGGCTAACTTTGGTTCTATCCTTATCTGAAAATAATAAGATTTTAGAGACATATCATTCACAATTTACATATCTTATGAAAAGTGAGTGGGTCTATTCGAACATCCACCGCAACCCGCAAGGGTTTATTGTGGCTCACACCGATTCCCACTCGACCAAATAAACCCAGCTTCTTAACGAAGCCGATTAGTTTGTATGGAGAGCGGTCTACGGCTCTGCCGAACTCTAAAAACCCGATTCGGTCCCCAGCGGGGCAGGCACAAAGTATGTGCTCTGCTGTTTCAACATTTTCCAAACAGAGGTGACACACACTGTCTTCCGATAGTCCAAGTATCTTCATATGATGATTCAAATGATAGTGACCTGTAAGAAGGCCTGTTAGACATCGTAGTTCATCCCTACTGTAGTCCAACAACTGTTTGGTATCAAGTTTTGAAGGGTGAATAAACGCTTTGGAGTGAGCCAATCCTGGAAGATTCTGCCAGAAGTCCATAACTCTTCTTGCCATCCAGGTGTTAAGTATTTGTTTGGCAAAGCCCAAAGCGATGCCAATGACAGGTTCTGGTCCAATGAAGCCGCTTGCAGCACCCTCCTTTGCAAGAAAGTCAGCGGCCTCAATGCCTTCAAGGCCAGTATGGCCAGGAATCCAGACCAGAGGCAATCTGTTGAGTCTTCCTAATGAGGAGAGTCGTTTTTGGCAATTTGCTACCAATTTAGATGTTGCCGGAGCTTCCAAAGCCGCTTGACTGTCCGAAAATATTTTTATTGACTTGTGTATGAGGTTGGATTCTTCCAATCTCTCAGCACACAATTCAATAGCGTAAATTTCCGCTCGAAATACAGTCGCATAGGTTTCTAGGCAGGTTGATAACTCTGTCCTGGGTCTGCGACCAAAGACACCTGCACAAAAACCGGAAGGTGTTTTTGATTGCAAACTTTTTATTGAAGCGTCAACCTTTCAAAAAAAATAATTAATTTGATGTACGTTCTAATTTTATTTTAATTTTGGCGGTGGTAGTGGCAGCAGAAATTTTCAACCTTGTGACAAAACCATTTCGATAATCGCCATTGCAATTTGTTATTGTTGCTTTGATAAGTAAATAAATAAACTTTCCACACTACTTGGTAGAATATAATAAAACATATTTTCCTATATGAACCAAAACGTAGGGTAGACCTACAGGTAAGGTATTTATCTATAACTTAGTGGTTTTAGAAAGTTAGGGGTGAACTAAGAAATCTCGATTGCTCCCCCCGAAATCATGGTCTGGATCCGTCACTGAATGCAGAAAACTGTACACATATCAGCAACTTTTGATGCTTTGTAAAGCTCAGATAAGACCTTCTTTTGAGTATCAATCCCATGTATGGAGCTCTGCCCTGAAGTTGCTGGATTCCATCTAGAAAAG